CTTATCTATTTTTTCATGTTCCTCATTTTCTTGTGCAATGTTAATCGTCACTTCTTCAATAGACATTTTTGTTGTAAAACCATGTTAGAAACTTTATGTATTTAGATGTAAGTTGATTTAATTTATAAGGTTACATATTTCCGATAAATAAAATTTAAAATGTTTCAGTTTTGAATATAGTTAATATTAATTAATTAAATACTTATCACTAATATCAAGTGAATATATGCATGTATATATGTATAAAATGCTAAACTGTTGATTCAATGCAATTTAGGAAAAATAAAATTATAATAAAAATAACCTGACACCAACTCAAGCAACACAAATAGGAAGAAGAAAATAATTTATTAGAAAACTATATTCCGCATTATTACTTCTTATGAATAGTCCTTGTTGAAATTGAAAGAATTTAATGAAACAAACTATTATTAATCTTAACATCTCTGAATCCCTTGTTATACAAAGTAGGTGCTAAAGATATTGCTTACACTTTAATAGAAAATGTTAGACTTTATCATAAAATAATTCGACTTCAATTAGAATAACAATATTTTTACTCATAATAAAATAAATAATTTTTGTTTATTTGATTTCTAGCAAACAATTTAGCAAATTTGAGGGAAAATGTGTAAAGACCTATTGGTTTAATATATGTTGAGCCTTCCCCTTTTGGTTTAATCTTTTAAGTAGAATAAAGACTTAACATTGATGGTATCTAAGTCTTAATGTCACGACCAGCTTGCTTGCCCAAGCATGCTGCACGTTACTTACCGATTAAGTATACTTCAGGGTGAAGCAGACTTAAGAGCTAAGTTAACTTAGGGGCTAAGTTAACGACTCAGCAGCTAGGTTCGACGACTAAGCACCTTCGTTTCCAAGGTTGCACATATGCTCGCCACCCACGAGCTTCGTTTCCAAGGTTGCACATATGCTCGACACCCACGAGCTTCATTTCCAAGGCTGCACCAATGTCCGACACCCAGGGTTTTCTTAATGCTGAAGCATGTAGCTTAGTCATAGTTAATTTGAGGTGCTTGAGCCTATAAATAGGCAACTCCACCATGTAAATCATATAACTTGAATTCCAGCAATATACAGAGTTTACATTTTCTCTATACTTCTCTCTTGTTCATATACTGTTAGCCTGTGAGCGTTAGGCTGCTTAGCTCATTTCCGACGAGTTAAGGCCGCACGAACTTAGCAAAGAAGTTAAGTGCGTGACATTAAGCTCGAATTCCTACATATAAATTGGGTAAAGAAAATGAAAAAAAACCCTAAGTTTGATGTGATAGGGCCTATTGGTCTAATATGTTGAATCCTTATCTAATAGTTTAGCTTTTTAAGTGAAATGACAATTTTACAAAAAGTTAAAATATTTTTATTTTTAAATTAATTAATGATGAATGATTATCAATAACTTTGAAATATTAAAAATGAAAGGATATTCAAAACAATACATCTTTAAAAATATAGAATAAGAATAATAAACAATCTATGTATAAGATAATATCAAAGCGTAGTACCAGCTTGATATTGAGGGGAAGATGTCCTAATCTCAACTATTTCTTCTTTAGAATGCTGATTTTGTGATGCAGTTGTTGTATCCATCACTATTTAATTTGACAACATTTTGTTATTATTATAATTATACACTTATATAGTATCATAATAGTTAATATATAAGATTATGTCGAATCAAACCATTACCATATATATGTTCTTGAAGAGATGTCTCAGTTAGATCTTCAAGGATGAAGCAAGAACTTAGCAAAACAATCAAGAAACAATGCAGGATTGAATCTGGATTCTGTTTCAGAGAGAAACGAATTCTGTTTTTATTTTTCTTAACTGAATTAGTAAAGTTACAGCTGAGCTTTTATACAAACACTCAACACTCTTGAAACGTCATCGTTTCTGATGAGTTTACAACAATTCTTTTACAAATGCAACCCTCATGTTTATAAACTTGCACTCTGGTCCTGCTAACTTCTTTAAGTAATACAATCAACTGTCTCAGCATTCTCATTTTCATGTATGTCAACCCTTACTTCATCATTAGTAGACATTTTTGTGGTATACCCTGCAAGGAACTTTAGATTAATTTAGAAGACTAAAGATTTTCCAGCGAAAGTATACTTTAAAGTTGAAGAGTCTGGCCTATATATATTACAACTAACAAATAAGAAGAAGAGTTTTGCCTAATTAGACTTATTTGAAGTCATAAGCATTTTTAAATTTTTAAATAAGTTATTTTATGTTTATTGCGAGAAGTTTAAACTTTGAGCTTCTTCAATAAACACTTTTTGAGCTTATTTGATATACACTTATTGAGCTTATTTTGAAGAGTTAAAATTTTAAAAATATGCTCATACTCCCCTACTAAATTTGACTTGATTTTTTTCTTCTACATTAAAACATTTATATTATTCTAATCAAACAACAAATAATTTTTGAAAGCTATATTTTCAGAAAAACTACTCGAATAAAATTAATATTAGTAGTCTAATTCTAAAGGGTGCTAATGTGTCTTTCAGGTCGGAATATTTACACTAAACAAAATACCCTTCACACCCATTTACTAAAATCAAGAATTATTAATTTTATTGTTACGGACTATTATAACTCTAGACACTTATTATACTTCACTTAAGATGTGTTTGGTTTAGGGAATGTTATATTAATGAGAATACTATATTAATAGGAAAATAGATAACCTTNATCTTAGTGCATAAATATTGTTTTATGCTGTATCTGTATTAGAGGGATTTTGACTTTGTACCATAATTTTAAGATTTTACAGGTTGTTGGATTGCCTAAGAAAGGCATTGGCAGTCCTTTTGGATTAATCTATAGTATGCAGAGAAAAGAGCTGTTGTTGTCATGTAGAGATCACCTTTGTGGAGAAGTATTGAGAAACTTGAATTGGGCGCCGTTTGAAAATCCAGAGTCGTGGAGGAGTTTATACAGTGCCGGAGCCATCTTTTTAGTATTGGTTCCAGAAGACTTTTCTCTCGTCATATTGATGACATTGACCTCTTATGCGGTTGAAGTTTGAAGAGGTTCTGTCGTATTACTACAGATTTGAGAGAGTTCAGGGAGTTACTATAAATATCTCACGTGACTACCATAGCTGTAATCGATTGGGAAAATGTAAATTGTCGGAACTTTCTGTTTAAGAAATTTGTTCTTGTTGAGGCATTGCTTTAGAGTTTGAGCGGGTTGATTTGGGTATTGGGTGCATGTCTACGTGAAAAAAAAAAAATTTACAGTGGTCGCATTCGCACTTACAACCAATTAATTATGAGGGTATCATGTCCAACACACTTGATATGTATTCGTTTTATGACTAATTGGTTGTACAACCATTGGAGTGGAAGTCTCTCATGTATCAACATACTTGCATGCTAGCATTTTTGGAGATTTGAGACAGTATGAACATCTGCCAGACAAACTACATAACACATTAGACACAAATCTCTCCTGAAATCCACTTTAAATTTGAACTAAAAATGATCACTGTGGCCTGATGGTAAAAGAGATGAAAGAAGTTTCATGAGCTTTTCAGTTTGTGTCTCTACACGCTCTAATAGGGGTAGCCATTAAGGGGTTTATCTGTTTATCAACTTTAGAGTCTTGAGGGATTAATACTGTTTTAAACCCGGACCAGACCGGTTGAAATGGGACTCGATAGTTTCTTGGGTCCGGTTCAGGTTTTAGGGGGTTTTTTTGTAATGTTTTAAATTTATAGGGATTAATTGTAATTTATATGGGTGTTTTGGAAATATATCAAAAGTTTAGGGATTAATTGGTAATTTTCTTGGATATTTTTGAAATAAATAAAAATTTAGGGATCAATTTGAAAATTTTAGGGGTATTTTTGTAATATATTAAAATTAGGGAGATTAATTATAATTTTTTTTAAAATCTCAGCTGGTCGACCCATGGACCGGTCACTTTACCGGGTTTCACAACAAGTCGAGTTTTAAAACAATGAGGATTAATTAAGGTAGGTGCAAACTGAACTGAATACCTTCAATCATCTAAAAAAAAATTTGAACTATCTGAATCCGGTTAATATTATAACTAAAACGAAATTTTCTAGGGTGCAGATCATATCAACTTAAATTTATGATTTAACCTCTTGATAATCTTTATTCTCTGACTCATTATAATCTAATGCTTATTAGAAAGAAGTTGAAAAATTGTAATTTTTGTTATGCTGAAGTAGTCAAATCCCTTCTTAGGTCTGCACTGAATCATTATGACAAAAATAATAATACTAAATCCCTGCAACTGATGCCAATTATGTTACAGGCACAACTGGTTTTATTAGAGTATCATTTTCCCATTAAGTGCTTCCTGCTGAATGGAATGAGGTTGTGCCAACATGCGTGCTTATTGACTATATTCAGACCTGGAGACAAACGGTTTTAATAATAGGGCAATAAACATCCTGTACATATCTACAAAACTGAGGAATGGGCAAGTTTTCTTTCTTTCCGTCTGGGTTCTGAAAAAGTTGGATGAATGGCAGCCGAAAGGTTTTCGCTCGTTTTGGATGCCAATTATTAATTTTATAAATTAAGGTTAAAGAACCACATGGGTATGTTTGTATAGACTTCAAAGTAGAAACTGTGCAGTCACGTGCATCACATGCGTGTATTAAAGTATGTGATGGGATCCACTTTATGCGCAGAAGTAAATGGGAAAATCCATGTCACTCTGTGTTGGTTTATGATAATCAGCCTTCCACTTTTCAAAGTTATAGGGGTTTGCTTGCTTTGGTCAAATTAAGTAAAACAACTTGAAACTCTCTTTAAACTTTTATATAAGAGCCATTAGCCACCCAAGTTATACCATTCGAATCGATCACTCTTGTACAGGACAGGAACCTGGTCCATATGCATTTATGTTGCGTCCCATATGCCATTGTCATTCTCTGATTGGGGTCTCAAACTTCACCTGCAATTAACAACCTCCCTCGCTCTTGTGCAGTAATGGATATCAGAAACTGCTGGTGCAACTCGGACGCAGACAATAGAGCCATTCGATTGGGGCAGAGTTATAACGAGGTTAGGCCTGTGAACTCATCTTCTACCTCTGGATTAACCAAGTTGAGGTGGAAAGTTCTGTGGATGAAGTTTAAGAAAGAAAAGAAGAAGATGTTTGAGTCTGTATCTCCTTTGCAGGTTCCTTATGATCCCTACACTTACTCACAAAACTTTGATCAAGGGTTTGCATGGGAAGAGCCTGATAATCTCTCCAGATCATTCTCTGTGCGTTTTGCTGATCCTTCGAGGATATTTCTTAAGAAAACAGAGATGTGATGGAAGATATAAACAACAGTCTCAATTCCTAAACTTGGTTTAGTTTGTTACTTGATTACATAAAGCTTTTTCAGTAGTGTTTTAACTATTAATCTCTCTCTGTAATGCGTGCAAATATGCTCTATTGATTAGGATCTTCTATCTTATTTGTAGAGTTTTCTCTAGATTGCATCTTAATTTATCATTTTTCCCTTTTTGGTTTAATGTAAAACTATGGTAAAGGGAGAGGAGAGAAAGATAAAAAACTAGAGAAAAGGAACAAACTTGCAAACTCAGTGTTCTTGCTTACAGGATTCAGGTCAAGAAAGTGATGCTTGACTTGGATAGAGAATTTTAATCCACCAATTATCCAAATAGAATATAAGATAAGAAAGCTTGATATTCCAATTCCTTTTACTTTGCTTGCCACCAAGATGAAAATGCTTCAGTTAGAGTGAGAGAGTCTTTTAACTTTTGACATCTAAGCTTTTCTGTGTTCTCGTGGAATCTGGAAGCTGCAGTTTATCCAAAATGGAGAATAAAGAAAATAAAACGTCTTTTTCTTGAAAACAATGGATAATGAACATATCAATGTTAGATTTTTAATTATGTTATGGTCGTACATTTTTAATATAATTAATTATAGTCTTAATACTTCTATGCTGATGTGGATTATAATAAATAAATATATACGGTTGTGTCTCTTGAACAATTGTCTTTAATGGAAAGACAATTGCATTTATAAAGGAGATTTTATAAGTGCTCTAAAAATTACAGTCAGTGAAAGACTCTGTATTTTGAAGAAGCAAGAAGACTAAACAACAATTACTATGGCTAGAGGTTTGTAAATTACTTCCACATATATTTCATGAGTATTTAAATGTTTATAATTGATTATATTATGAACTTTTATATGAATATTGGAATAGATATGTATTTACAATCAAAACCAAATTAAAGAACCGTGAAATTCACTTTTAAGAAGCTTGTGAAGTGAGCACTCGTGTAAAAGCACGCAAATGGATGCGATGTCAAGGCTTGTTTGACCACCATTTCAAATTAACGCCGTTCTTTTTCTCTCAAAATAAGCTCCATATTTCAAATTTCTCTCAAATAACTCCCAGAAGAGATCCCGGCCAAGACAAAAATCCAGCCTGATTTCAACACCATTGGACCTCCCCGACACCACCATCAACATCCCCTTGTCCTTCTCACCAAAGCCCAAACTTTTCCACTTGCTTGCACCTCGGCGAGGTGCTGGAATTTGGTTGGAAAGGGGTGACAAAACGCAAAAACCTAAGGTAGAGGCGGCGACGTTCGACGGGTGATTACTGTTAGCGATGTTGGGGGTTTTGGTGGGAGGAAGCTGACGATGCTATTAGTGGTCTTGGGGGTGGTTTTCAGTGTCGGGATTTGCTTGAATTTGGATGAAACACCGATTGACACTAAAAGCGACTATCGGCGATTGGGGGGTTCAATCAGGCAGGGAGGTTAAGGGTTTTGATGTGAGGGTTGAGGGGATTGTAATGGTGGTATCAGGATTGTGCTGGAAACAGGCCAGAATGACCTGAAATCGCTGGTGGGGTGAATTTTAGAAGTGAAGGATTATTTTGAAATTTTCTGGTGGGGTGAATTTGAGAAACGAAAGGTTATTTTGAAATTTTCATCTTTGAAATGATCATTTTACCGTAAACAATTTTCTATTAATTTAAGGGCGAGAATTTGTAATTTATGAAACCAGAGGTGGGAACTTGTAGATTCGCCAAACCTTGGGTGGGAAAATGTCGTTTACTCAATGTTTTTTAAGCTACAAAAAATTTACAATTATATGTGTTGTATAAGCATGAAGCTGTAGATTTATTCAGTTTCACAATTTGGAAGAGCATTGAGCATGATTTGTCAGGGCATTTTATACTGAAACATGAAATTATTTCTGAAATTAATAGTCATTTTCAGTATGAAGAAGTTAGATCAGTTGCCATCTCATCTGTAACAAGCTAGAAGCCAGCAAACTTATCTTTTAATGCATGCAAGAAAGTATCTATTATTAATTTATTACCAGAAGAATATTGGTGATCAGTGGCAGAACCCATTAATGACCTGTGGGGACAAGAGTCCCCACTCAACTTTTGAAAAAAGCCCACATCTTATATTTATTTAAATTTTACACTTATAGAATTATGAGATTTTGGGATCAGCCCTCATGGTTAGTTTAGATTTTATTTTTGTAAAACCTTATTTTTAATCCTAGTATATATATTACATATTTTTTGTGATTTTTATTTTTATGCAAGAGGATCTGTTAGTTTTTAAAAGTTTTATTAAGAGTGAAAATGAAAGGAATAAAAACTGTTGGGTTTGCATTTAACTGAGGGGAGAAATCTGGGCATTTTTACATCAGAAAACTAATGTGGCAAAGTCATGCTGAGAATAAGAGAGCAGTTTCATAATTCAAAGAAGTTGTTTTATATATAAACTGGGTTATTTGCCAAAAATGAAGAAAAAGAGAGAAAAACCCATAAAGAAGAAAGGAAGAAGAAGCAAAGGAAAAGGAAAAAGAGAAGAGAGAGAAGAATGGGTTTGGTTAGTTTTATCTATTTGATTTTTCTGCACTTGAGTTGATGGTACTTGAGAACCAGATTGAGATATATGTTATTGACATACATTCTTGTGATAAATTTGCTGAGTTACAAGGAATTGGTGATTTGGTTAAGAATTTAGTTCGGTTTAAAAAAGAAATTTTGCATATCTTGGTGTATAAGCTTGTGAAAGTTGCATTGGTTTTATCAGTTACGATTGCGACTGTTGAAAGGGTTTTTTCTACAATGAATCTTGTGAAAAATCGGTTATGCAATCGAATGAGAGATCAATGGATGAATGATTGCTTGGTCATCTATATTGAGAAAGATGTATTTGATATAATTGGCAATGAGATGATTATCCAACGTTTTCAGAATAGGAAAACTAATTAAGGACATTTGTAAAAAAATTGTTTTATTTTTACAAAAATTGTGTGTTTTGAAAATATTTATTTGTATTTTATAACTTTCTATTGAAGCTCGTTGTAATGGAAAAAAAAAAGTGTAGTTATAATTGGTTTTAATTTATTTTTTAAGTTTATGTTTTGCCCCCATTGAGGAAAATTCCTAGATCCGTCACTGTTGGTGATGCTTAGAAGGAATATTCTAAAAGGTCTTATGGTATTTCAATCAGAAATTTGAGTGACTATAGTTAGTAATGAAAAAAGAAGTTGCTCTGTAATACCACAGGAAGAGGTTTAGAGCATAGTATCACGACCAGCCTGCTTGCCGACTTAAGCATGCTGCACGTTGCTTACAGATTAAGTATACTTCAAGGTGAAGCAGACTTAAGAGCTAAGTTAACTTAATAGCTAAGTTAACGACTCAGCAGCTAGGTTCAGCAACTAAACACTTCGTTTCCAAGGTCGCTCCAATGCTCGACACCTATGTAGCTTAGTCACATTTATTTGAGGAGCTTGAGCCTATAAATAGCCAACTCCACCAGGTAAAGTTCATAACTTGAATTCCATCAATACAGAGTTTAGATTTTCTCTACATTTCTCTCTCGTTTATATACTTTGAGCCTGTGAGTTTGTGTGAGTGTTAGGTTGCTTAACTCATTTCCGACGAGTTAAGGCCGCACGAACTTAGCAAAGAAGTTAAGTGCGTGACAAGTGGTATCAGAGCCTCGGTTAGCATAACCTCGGTTTTCATTCACTAGCAAAAGATACTGTCGCTTCCAAAGGAACCAAGACGGCGGAGATAGAGGCTTCCCAAGAACGTGGTCGTCCGGAGAAAGTCAACCCCAACCTCAACCCCTCAAGGCAGAGAGGTAAGTCCAAAGATTTTCTTTCCAGTTTTGACTCACGCCTATCTCGTGTAGAAGAAAGGGTGAGCACGCAGTCAGAGGATCTGGATTATCGAGTGGATGATCTAGAGACAGAGGTTACCGAAACCCACACTGTCGTGAAAGCCATGCTGCTTCAAATGGAAGAGTCACTAAGGACTGAAATGGGGAGAATCCGTGAGGAGTTCGTCGGGGAGCTTGCCAAGACCCGTCATGTGTTCCAAACCGAAATCAACAGCACACTTGTTCGTTTAGACGAGGTGCAGGCTGATTTAGCACGATGCAAGCGCGGCATGGTTGCAAGGACCGGTAGCAACGTCATTGAAAGCCAAAGGATTGACGTCCCAAGGCCTAAAAGTTTTAGTGGCTCACGCAAGGCACAAGAGGTTGACAACTTCCTGTGGGGACTAGACAAGTACTTCGAGGCCGTAGGCATCACGGAGGAAAGCTCGAGGATTGAAACTGCAGTCCTCTATCTCACAGACACCGCAAGGTTGTGGTGGAGGAGACGAGAAGGAGACATCGAAAAAGGTATTTGCACTATCTCTACTTTTGATGATTTTAAAAGAGACCTTAAACGACAATTTTACCCGGATAATGCTGAGGATGAGGCAAGAGCTCGCTTGCGACGGATCAAGCAAACAGGGACGATCTATGATTATATCAAGGACTTCACTAACTTGATACTGGAGATCCCGGAGATGTTCGACAAGGACTCGCTCTTCAATTTCATGGATGGGTTGCAAACATGGGTGAAAACAGAGCTAAGGCGTCTGGGAGTGCAAGATCTTGCCACGGCCATAGCAGTTGCTGAAAGTTTGATTGACTATAGCACCCAAAAAGAATCCAGCAGCAAATCCAAAGATAAGAGGGGCAGCTTTGTTAAAGGTGCGGGAGACAGGGGGCAACCTAAAGAAAGCAATTGAGACACCCGCCAAGACTACTCCTCATCCAAAGGCAAAGACAAGGGCAAACGTTGGGACAAGGGCTCCAACAAACCCCGCAACAATTGCTTTATTTGCAATGGGCCTCATTGGGTGAAAGACTGTCCGGAGAAGAAAGCTCTTACTTCCCTCATAGCCAAGCATCAGGAGGGCAAGCCAGCCGAAAGTAGTAGTGATGGGGCACATATGGGATCGATGCAACAACAACTC